AAGTGTTATTTCCTATTTAGTTGTGCAGTATTTACTTTGCAAGTAGTTGTTATACTTGAGAAATTTTGTTTTTGTGGCTGAAACTTTTTTTATAGCAAAATGCGCTGCAGCATGTCTCACAAAAACAAAGATTTTGCAGTTCAGTAAACTTTTCCCATGTTTTTATGATGGAACCAATTAGGAAATGACATTTATAAACGAGGAACAAAAATCGTGTTACTTGGTGATACTCCTGATTGCTATCTGCTGAATAGTCCCCAAGAGAGGCAGTATATGAAACCTTTTCTTTAAGCAATAACTTCAGCTTCAGGAAAGGCGTGGCAGAAATAGATCAAAACAGGATGCCGATACAGTTAATGAGAACACCTTCTGCCACCAATTCTAGCAAAATTCTCATAGTTTAAAAGCCAGAAAGGAGTTTAGGCGGCTAACTTTTTAAAAAATCATAGAAAAAACTCTGATCTCTATATCAGAAAATGAAAATAAAGATTTGGGAAACAAAAGCCTTGTGTCACTTGTGCTATGAATGGCAAAGCTCGAAATAGTCAGAACAAGGGGAACAAACTAGAATGAGTATCAATAAAGATTTGGCTAAATAGGATATGGGATATTGTACTATTGGAAAAGTTAACCTATAAATCAAGATTAGCAAAAGGAAAAGCAAAGCTGTATGTGTACAGAGTTATGAGTATGATGTCCATAGGTTGAGGGAGCTTAAAGCTGGGAATAATCAATGGACCAATGCAATTGTATTGTGTTATTTTTCTTAAAATGATAAAATAAAGAGTTTTTTCTGTATAAATAAAAATGTAATGTTAGTTTGTGGGATTAACATAACTCAAAAACCACTGGACGAATTGACACTAAATTTGGACACAATACATCTATCAGGCCAACGAGTGACCATCACTCATGAAAACACTGAAAAACACAGCAGAACAGACTTGAAAAGCCAAAAAATAAAAATACATTATAACACATGCACAAAACCACATATATATATATACACACACACACACACATATACACAAAACATATACAAAAACCCTATAAAGCCCTAAACGACTCCGGCCCTGTTTACCTCTCCAAACATATTCTCCCCTATGAACCATCAGGATTATTAAGATTGTCTGGAGAGGCCCTGCTCTCAGTCCCACCGGCCTCGCAAGCGCGTCTGGTGGGGACAAGGGACAGGGCCTTCTCGGTGGTGGCCCCTCGACTCTGGAACTCTCTCTCACTGGAGATCAGAACCACCCCGTCTATCCTGACATTTAGGAAACAGGTGAAGACTTGGTTATGGAGACAGGCATTCGACGAGTGAGCCAACACCCTGAGATATGGATGGAGGATGATGAGCAACGATTTTAGTGTGACGACTGACCAATATAGTTATTGATTGTAATTGCTGTTTTAATGTTTTACTTTAATATGTATTATGATGTTTTATTGATTGTATGTGATATTATGGTTGGAAACCGGTCTGAGTCCCTCAAGAGAGGTGAGAAGGCCGGTATACAAAACTTTTAAATAAATAAATAAACATATACACAGACTGGGCCACAGCAATGTGTGATGGGGACAGCTAGTTTAACAACAATAATAAATAAAATAAAATAAAAAGGATGTTTTAGGCACACAAAAATCATAGAAAAAATACAGCCCCCCCCCCCACACACACTTTTAAAACTGGTGATTATAAAATGGAGGAACCCCATCATAGCCTGTTAAACAGAAAACTAAATATGCTTGTTTAAACAAAAGTAGTACTCATTGTTTCCATGTAACACCCTAAGATTCTTAGACCTTTCTTAGTATTGCCACTGAACCGCTCACCTTGGCAGCCCATACAATGAATTGGATCGAGGTTGATTCCATGCCTCATCATGAATCTTTGGGCACTTCTGAGTGTACATACATACATGAAGAAGAAAATACATGTAATAGTCTGTTGTATCTATTTGCCGGCCATGGTAACACTTCCAATCAATCCTGGTTTTTAGAACTTAATTCCATATGGAACAACACAACTGCATTCCTATGTAATGTTAAGTAGACCAAGATTTTGTGGTCTACTTAGTAGCATGCATTTGTCAAAAGACATCTTAATTTTGCAAAATTATCTTCAGAAGTATGAGCCAGAGATTTTAATCCCTTTTAAGTGTTGCACCAACTTGTTCTCATGGGTGATATGACGTAAAATGGGAGTATGAACAATTGCTGTTTCTTTTCCTTGCTTATTTTTGGGTGAGGTGGGGAGAGAAAAGGGCAGGTAAACTTATCTGTAACTGGGTTCAGAGATGAGCATACAGTTGATGCTCCAGATTTGCTGGTTTGAGTTTTGCAGATTTGATTGTTCACATATTTGATTTAAATATTTTCTTTAAGACTCTCTTAGGAGCCCATCCAGACAGGCCCTATATCCCAGGATCTGATCCCAGGTTTTCTGTTTATCTCAGATTATCTGGCAGTGCGGAAAATCTGGAATCAGATCCTGGGCTGTAGGACCTGTCTGGAATGGCCTTACGTCCTCCAGTGTGGCTCTAAAGCAGGAGTGTCAACTTCATTTTCAGCCTTATAGTTACCTTCAAAGGGCCATTGAATCCATGGATGGAGAATCCGTGGATACAGAGGGACAACTACACCTTTTTTTAATATAGTGGTTGTTGCTCTTTAGTTTTTACCCAATTTAGGTCCCCAGATGTTATTGAACAACAAAACCCATCACTTGATTATCCATCATACAGACTAAGGATAATACAGGCTTCGGCGGTGACCGGGAGGGCTTTTGCACAACTGAGACTTGTGCGCCAGCTACGTCCGTACCTCGCTAAGGCTGATCTGGCCGGGGTGGTCCATGCCTTAGTCACCTCTAGACTGGATTACTGCAATGCGCTCTACGTGGGGCTGCCCTTGAAAACGGCTCGGAAATTCCAATTGGTCCAACGGGCAGCAGCCAGGATGTTAACTGGGGCCCATTACAGAGAGAGGTCAACCCTCCTGTTTAAGGAGCTCCACTGGCTGCCGTTTATTTTCCGAGCCCAATTTAAGGTGCAGGTGCTTACCTACAAAGCCCTGAACGGTTTGGGACCACCCTACCTGCGTGACCGCATCGCTGTCTACGAACCCACACGCTCACTCCGGTCATCTGGAGAGGCCCTGCTCGTGATCCCGCCCGCGTCACAAGCGCGCTTGGTGGGGACGCGAGACAGGGCCTTCTCCGTGGTGGCCCCCCGCCTCTGGAACACCCTCCCGAAAGATCTCAGACAAGCCCCTACACTGGCAGTCTTCAGGAAGAATTTGAAAACCTGGCTGTTCCAATGTGCCTTTTCAGATTAGGAATCTCCCAGTACCAAATCCCAGAAGCACTTTAGTACCAAAATCACCGCACACTGCACACCGCACTTATATCATAATCCCATACTCCTCTGACACATCAGCACTTTTAACCTTGTACCCCTACTCTGGCTGACTCAGTTTTTTAATATTGTCTTATCGTACTGCTATTGTTATTGTTTTTCTGCTTAACTCTTTTTATTTGCTAGATATTGTATTGTTATTTTGTGTTGGGCTTCGGCCTATTGTAAGCCGCATCGAATCCTGCAGGAGAGGCTAGCGGGGTACAAATAAAGTTATAATAATAATAATAATAATAATGGGAATTGCAACCCAATAGCACTTGTAGTTCTAAGACTGGGGAAAGATTAAAAAACATTTTAAAGTCAGACATCATATCTATAAGCCATGTATCTAAATTCAAATCCCAATATGCTTCATAAACAAAAGTAGCAGAGAAGGAGCACATTACTAGAGAGGTTCTGGGTGGATTTTGGGGATGGGGGTGGAGATTGGGTGTTTTAAAATGCATTTTAATTACATTACTTGTATTTTAACTGTATTTGTATCCTAAAACTATTTAAGTTTTTTTTTAGTTTTTCTATTTGTTTTGTTTTTAATTGATCAAAGTGTGTGACTGTTAGCCACCTTGAATCTCCTTGGGGAGGAAGGCGGGGTATAAATAAAGTAAATAAATAAATAAATAGAATAAACAGCACCCTTCCAGATGTTATTGTATCACAACTTCCATCAGCTCTAGTCCTAATGTCTAAAGAAGAGGAATAGAAGAATTGTTGTCTAGTATTTGGAGGGCCACATAAAATAACATGGTGGACTGCATTCGGCCTGCAGGTCTTCAGTTTGACATAAGTGGCCTAGAGCAGTGTTGCTCAAACTATGTTCCTCCAGAGGATTTGGAGTTCAGCTTCCAGAAATCCCGGCTAGGAATTGTGGGAGCTGAAGTCTAAAACATCTGGAGGAGCACAGTGTGAGAAACTCTGCTCTAGAGGATCTAGAAATTTCTAGAGAGAACAAATCTCAAGGAAACTCTTAAGTCCTCTAGTACAATTCTGTGGTCAACTTCCAACAGAAGTTAAACACAGATGTTTGGAGGACCTAGAGATTTCTTGAGGGGTATTCTTTCAGGTTCAAAAAATGTATTTTTGGATATAGTTTTTTTTATTTTTGTGGGAATCCTACTCCCCTAACTATAGCAAAATTGGGGGTGGTGGTGATGCTCAACTGGAAGGGCCTCCTGCCTCTCCAAAATACCCTTTCTCATTAATGAAATATGCGTTGATCATTTTCTTTCTGTTCATTGACGTTTCTGAATTAAGGGATGCAGGGCACTGGAGCATGAAATTGTAAATGTACCTACATCTCAAAGGCTCAAAAGTGAACTATGTTATAGACCCCACCAATACTGTATATGAAGGTGACTGTCAAAAAAGATTACATAATTTAAGCCAAAATGAGATTAAGTATATAAAGAATAGAAAAGTAAGGCTTGAATGAAGTTAGAATTTCATTCAAATCAGAGCTAAGGCTATCTTCTAACCACCTGAATGGTGTGTTATATGACCATGAGGTTTTGTGTTTCATTTTACACCAGTAAGATAATTAACAGTATGATATTTCTCTGACATTGTTTATTCCTTTCCATACAGTGCAGTCCGCAACCTTCAAAGTGACCGTTCCTTACTCACGCTACATCTGCCCTGAAGGTCAAAACATCACCTTGACTTGTAAACTCAGTGGGAGTCTCGCTAACAGACACGATGCCCTTTCCAAAATGTGGTACTTGAGCAACAAGAGCTGTTCTCAGAGAAAGTATGTCCGCAACATCACAATGAAGGAGTTGCATCATGAATCCGGGAAGCACCACTGGCCACCTGCTAGCAATGGCACTGCTGGAAAAGCCTCCTCCAGACAGCAAGAGAACTATCATGGGGTGGAGACCTCATCAGACCACCATGGCACCTTCCAAATCACCATGGCAAACCTTAATCTGCAGGACAGTGGGCATTATTGTTGCTTTGTGGTGGAAGTGAAAAAGGAGCACAACAAGCCACATGCTGAACAGCAGGTTCATGGAGTTATGGAACTTCTCATACAGAAAGGCAGGTGAACTTTGTACCCCAAAGCAGGTGTGGCTGGATCTTCCTGTTGTTTCCTATTCTGTAGATCTAAGTAATCTAGAATTTAAGACAAGAGGGACTGCAGGCTACCAACGTGGAAAACTAGACAAAAGGAAAAGTTTAAAATTATGTATAATGTCTTTATTTTTGCTTGGTTTTATATTTATTTGTTGTAAGCTGCCCTGAGTCCTTTTGGAGAGGGGGCAGGATATAAATATTATAATTATAATATTATAATAATTATATTATTATTATTACTATTATTAAAATATATCTGAATTGAATACTGAAATTTTCACTGGAAAAAGCACGGTGTAACACCAGTAAGCAGTATCTTTCCTTGCTGATTTCTTTGGGTGGATATGTATTTGTGTGTGTTTACAAATTACTGAAACTGTCCAGTCTGTGTGAACACAGTGGCTTAGTGAGTTCATTGTCTAGCTCAGGGGTCCACAAACGTTTTAAACAGAGGGCCAGGTCACAGTCCCTCAAACTGTTGGAGGGCCGGATTATAATTTGAAAAAACATGAATTAATTCCTATGCATACTGCAATATCTTATTTGTAGTGCAAAAAACAACCACTTAAAAACAATACAATAATTAAAATGAAGAACAATTTTAACAAATATAAATTTATTCGTATTTCAATGGGACGTGTGGACCTGCTTTTGGCTGATGAGATAGGATTGTTGTTGTTATGTGCTTTCAAGTCATTTGAGACTTAGGTTGACCCTGAGCAAGGGCCGAGTAAATGACCTTGGAAGGCCATATCCGGCCCCCAGGTCTTCGTTTGAGGACCCCTGGTCTAGCTAATCAAACTATCTATTGTGTCGTCATCTGATATTCAGGATCTCTGACTTGATATGGCTTAATTCTCAGGAAAAAAATAGCTCCAGTGTGCATAGGAATTTGTTCATTTTTTTCATTTAGTTTACACAAATACTCCATCCATCTGCCACTGGCCTGGCCCATCTCTTAAATTTTAAAACACAGTGTGTCCAAACGTTTGTCTTTGCCTGTGAGATTATATATATATATATATATATATATATATATATATATATATACACACACACACACACACACACACACACACACACATACACACACACACACTATATAAATAACAATGTAATGTTCGTTAGTGGGATTAGCATAACTCAAAAACCACTGGACAATTTGACACCAAAATTGGACACAATACACCTGTCACCTATCAGGCCAACAAGTGACCATCACTCATCAAAACACTGAAAAACACAACAGAAGAGACTTTACAAGCCAAAAAAATAAAAATACATTACCACACATGTGCAAAACCACATAGAGTGTTCCCTCACTTATTGCGGGGGTTACATTCCAGGACCACCCGCAATAAGTGAAAATCCGTGAAGTAGGGATGCTATATTAATTGTAATATTTATACATTAGTGGGTGTTATTGGGGTGGCATCGGAGCCTCCAAAGGGCTGGATCCCTGCCTGGAACAAGGAGGTGAACAGAGCATGTCCACTCGCAGCCCGATCCATCGACAGAATGAGCAAAAAGAAGCAACAGGACACGAGGGGCCACACACCAGCCTCCCTTTCTGAGGCCCATTGTAATGTAAATATTTTCAATTCAGTTTTTTGAAAATCCGCGAAACAGCAAGTCCACGTAAAGCGAACTGTGAAGTAGCGAGCGAACACTGTATATACACATATACACAAATACACACACACATATACACATATATACACACGCAAAACATATATACACAGACTGGGCCACAGCAACACATGGCAGGGGATAGCTACTGTAATATATAAACATGTCTTGAGATTCCACAAGAAACTTTTGCTTCAAAAAGGGCTCAGTGGCTGAAAAGGTTTGAGAATCCCTGACTTACAGAATGGGAAGATTCTTGCCCTGTCAATATCTGCTCAAAACTTTGAGCATAGGGAGAGGTGTACTTAGAATTCACGAATGTCTCCTCAGGCTACACATAGAAGTGAGGTCAAGCTCTTCTCTTTACACATAAATGTATGCTATGCAGCCAGTGAATAGCAGGAAAACCATTACGGTTACAAAAGATTTTTAAAATCCTGTTAATGGATGAGAATTTAATTTTTTAATAAACCTGACACTTATGTCTTAATTCACAGCAAACGGAACTTTTTCAAACTGTACGCTTCATTCTGACACCACCAGAGAGAGTGAAAGTAAGCATAGTTTCATTCATAATTATCCTATTCTCTTTGGGTTGGGCATATGTAGACAAATAATGTAAAAAGCTGTTCTTCTGAAAGAATACACCAGATGTTGTTTTTAAAAAAATCATGATTTTCTTTTATTTCGTCCTGATTTTTTATCCTGGCTTTGATTCTCAGACCATTATATTCCCCATTATAGCTCTTCTTCCATTCTTTAGTTGTTTGACTTTTAAGGCTTCATTCATTCATCATAATCATTATCAGTTATTTAAACAACACCATTGGGCTACTTGGCACTTGATAGTTAATAATTTGAGAAGTGTTCAATCCAAAAAGATAGGACACTCAAGGAAAAATAGTGGAGAGGGAACTTTTTTTTTGTCATGTCAGGAGTGACTTGAGAAACTGCAATCTGGGGTGAGAGAATTGGCCGCCTGCAAGGATGTTGCCCAGGGGGACACCCGAATATTTTGATGTTTTTACCATCCTTGTGGGAGGCTTCTCTCATGTCCCCGCATGAGGAACTGGAGCTGATAGAGGGAGCTCATCCGCGCTCTCCCCGGATTCGAGCCTGTGACCTGTTTGGAGAGGGGACTAAGTTCAGCAGATGCTGGCTGCTCTTGTCTCCCTTAGAGGCCAGAGTATTAGCTGCTGCAGGGTCTAAGCATGATGGAGCTGTGCCTGCCATTTTTCCCTTTCATATGAGGCCACAATATTTGGAACAGCTTCCTATTGACTCATTTATTCCCATTCTTTCTCAATCTTTTAACACAGCCTATCTTTGACCATATTTCCAGAACCTTACTGACTCATCCTTGCTATTTATTTATTTATTTCATCTCATCCCTGCTATTTATTTATTTCGTATCAAAAGCATTGCATAGATTAGTATAAAACTGATAAAAACAGAAGGCTAAATATCGTTTGACCAAAAACGGGCAACAGCAATGGCACTGTCTGTAGCCTCCAACAATTCTTCCTCTGTACATGAGGCAGGGTGTAGTGGACAAGCATACAGATGTGGAGTTGTCTGCTCCACAGTCACATAAGGCGTGGGATTCTTTTAGGCAGTGCCATTTTGCCAGGTTGTCTTTTGATCTGCCCACTCCACTTCTGAGTCTGTTCAGGGACTTCCAAGTTGCCCATTCTTGGTTTGCCCCTGAAGGAAGACCCTCGTGAGGGGCTATCCAATTGGGATTTCCTGGTTTAGCAGCTTCATCCCTGCTTGTATCATATTTGCCCCATGCTTCTAATATAGACTACAGATTATTTCAAATGTAAGTGCAGTGGTGCACAGACTACAATGGTTATTACATTGTTTTGTGCTTATTATATGCATATTTTCTAACTCATGAGTATGAACATAATTTGCTGAATTCATTCCACATTAGAAAACCTTAAGGACCAGAGAGCTTATGTGAGAAAATCTAGAAAAGCACATGTTATTTGATTTGCTGACACTTTACTATTAAATATATTTTTTGCCATAGATACTGTACCTTAACAGAAACACAAAGCTTTTGCTAAATGTATGGTTTGAACTAAATCACTATGTAAATGTATGGTTTGAACTAAATGTATTTTGAACTAAATCACTTGAAACTTTCCTATCACCCCATCTTCTTCTCAACTTTTGCTTTTGCCTTAGCTTAAACATGATTTGGTGTGTTATTGGAATGTGAAATTTTGGTTAAGCATAACTATAAGTAGTGGAACAAAGACACCTTTGTAAAGCAAGATTTGAATTACCTGGTTTCTGTTAATTACAATTTTATAAACCACAGGGTTTTTTTAAAGAATTGCTTGAGAATCTAATGTTAACTCAAAAAAATAGAAGTAAAAGATTCCAAACTTCTTCAGAATCAAAGTACAGATGAGAAGTACAGGCAGAGTGCATAAGCTGAATTTATATAAATAAAAATGTAATGTTTGTTTGTGGCATTAACATAACTCAAAAACCAGTGGACGAATTGACCCGAAATTTGGACACTATACCCCTAACAGACCAATGAGTGACCATCACTCATCCCCCCCCAAAAAAAAACCAGCAGAAAGAACTTAAATCCCAAAAAAAGGTAAATGACAAAAAAACCCTAAATGATGATACAGAAAAAAAGGGAAGGAAATGGGAGGAAGGGAGGGAGGGAAGGAGGGAGGGAAGAAAGGAAGGAAGGGAAGAAAGAAAGAAAGAAAGAAAGAAAGAAAGAAAGAAAGAAAGAAAGGAAGGAAGGAAGAAGGAAAGAGGGAAGGAGGGGAAAAATGAGAGAGAGAAGGAAGCATGGAAGCAACGAGTGAAGGAAGGAGGGAAAAAGGTAGAGAAGGAAGAAAGGAGAGAAAGAGGACAGAAAAGAAAAAGCGGGGAGGAAGGAAAGAGGTAGAGAAGGAAGGAATGAGAGAAGGAAAGAAAAAAGGGAAGGAAGGAAAGAGGGAGCAAAGGAAGAAGAGAAAGGAGAGAAAGAGGGAGAGAAGGAAAGAAGGAAAGAGAAGGAAGGATGGAAGCAAAAAGCGAAGGGAGGAGGGAAAGAGGTAGAGAGAAGGAAGAAAGGAGAGAAAAAGGACAGAAAAGAAAAAGGGGGGAGGAAGGAAAGAGGTAAAGAAGGAAGGAGAGAAGGAAAGAAGAAAAGGGAATTACTGTTATATTGATTACTATATAATATGTTACTATTGTAATGTAAGTATGTAATACTTATTTTTTTAAAAATTCAAATGTATAAAGTATTTATTTTTATATGCCTATTCTTTAATTGCATTGCAAAACATGTTTTCTAGTACAGCAAGAAAGTTTTCAAACACATTCCTTTAATATAAGAAAATAACTCTTAAATTAAAGATACTCTGCCTAAATTGCCACATGATGAGTGGTTCAGATATACGTACAGCCATGTGTATCCATTGCTAAAACTGATCAGGAATCAACTTTAGCCTTTAGCAATATTTCTCTACTTGCATGCTGACTTTTCCCTCCTTTTGTTTCCAGGCATCACTGCAGCTGCACTTGCAACAGGGGCCTGCATTGTGGGCCTCCTATGCCTGCCCCTCATCCTTCTCCTCATTTACAAGCAGAGACAAGCAATCACTAACAGACGTATGTATCAAAGTCTTATCTTCCTCTTCCTTTCTTCTTCCCGTTTCTTTCAAAGCTTAGTTTCCCAAACATCCTAAAGCATTTCTTTTTCAAATGCAGAGATGCTCGTGCAGTTATGCCATTACACCTACGATGCTCAATTCATTTTGAGTAAAAGTACCATATAAATGTGTGTACAAATCAAACCTGTTGTATAAAGCAAGGGTCGCTTTGGGGACCAAAATTATGGATTTTGATGTGACTTGTGGATAAGTCAAGGGTTATGCCACAGAGAGGGGCAAACACCACCTGGCGTTCAAGATGCCACCCAGGTATTGAAATAGACCATAAGTCCTGCATGTTGGACAGAATTGAGGGGGCTGTTGCTTCTTTCGGATTCTCCCAGATTGGGCAAAGCTCTCGCCTTTGGCCACTACTCAGATAAGGGGATGGTTCTTTTTTGTGAAGAGTTAAAGTACAGAACATACATTGACCCATGGATAAGTTCACCCAGGTTTCTTGGGGTTAATGTTTTGGTTTAAATTTCTAGATGTATACGTACACAGGTATACACAGGTGGTCCATGTGTTACAAACATCCAACTTACAAATGAGTCATAGTTAAGACATCAGGAAGTAAGAGAAATTTACCTCTAAGAAGGGAAATTTACTCCTGAAAGAGTTATCATGTGGAAAGGGGTCTCAACTGAAGTTTTATAATTTATTTGTTTGTTTGTTTACAGTATTTATATTCCACCCTTCTCACCCTGCAGGGGACTCAGGGCGGATTACAATGTACATATACATGGCAAACATTCAATGCCATAGATGCACAATATATATAGACAGACAAACAGAGGCTATTTAACATTCCAGCTTTTCCATGAGGGTATTCTGGCTACCAGGGGAGCTGTTGCTTTACCATCCATTTGTGACACTGATGAAGTACTTCCTCATTCTTTGCATGCTTGCTGGAGATTTTTATGATTGTGTTCATTGTAATTTTATATCGTTATGCATACATATATTTTATGTAATTATGATGTTGTTTATTGTTTGCGCTTTCGGTTTAATTCTGCTGTAATTTGTTGTTTGGGTTTGGCCTCATGTAAGCCGCCCCGAGTCCCCATTGGGGAGATGGTGGTGGGGTATAAATAAAGATTATTATTATTATTATTATTATTATTATTATTATTATATTATTTAATTGACATTCGGCAACATATGGAGGAACACAAATTGCCTATCCCTGCTTTAGAGAAAATGTATGGATATGGGATATTAAAAATAATTGCTTCTGGAAATGTATGAAATAAAGTAAACATTAAGAAATGGATGATTTACCCCAGTGGTTCCCAACCTCCTTGGTTCTCCAGGAGTTTTGGACTTCAACTCCCACAATTCCTAACAGCTGATAAGATGGCTGGGATATCTGGGAACTGAAGTCCAAAATACCTGGTAGACCAAAGGTTGGGAACCACTGATTTATCCAGATTTAATGCCAAAGTTCGTATAAATTCACCCATTATAAATCATGGCCTTCAGTTTGTTGATAGAACCAATTAGAACAACCCATTTGAAACATTAGGATTTACGTATGTGTTGGATCCAGTGGGTTGGATTGGCAGTACTCCCCAGACCTTAGAATACTCTCCTCTCCTTCAGGTGGCAGAATAGTGGCAGGAACATATGAGGTTTTTAAAAGTAGTTTTTTTTCCCCTCCATGTTATCATACCCTGGACAAGCAATGTGTTAGGAAGTAAGGACTATTTGTTTTTGAGAGATGAGTTCTTCTAAGACTGCTGCAGTTGCATGATAAGCATATGTTGGAATATACTGGAGGGCAAAGCTTATCTATCTCTCTGGAGTTAGATGATGTGTCCACAGTTGTTACCCCTATTTTTCAACTGTACAAGGAAACACATATTGCTTTCCAAACGATGAAGAAGTTATGGTCCAAAAGTGATATGAATGTGCAAATTTGTATTTCATACTGGAGAATGTAACATTATCTTGTTCTGAAAGCTCTGGAGAAATATATTACCACCAATAGACTTAACCTACCTTTGGAGTAGAAAGCTGTCAAATATTAAACACAAGATCTAGGGAAGTCATGCTACCCCTCTATTCCGCTTTGGTTAGACCACACCTGGAATATTGCGTCCAATTCTTGGCACCACAATTCAAGCGAGATATTGACAAGCTGGGATGTGTTCAGAGGAGAGCGACAAAAATGATTAAGGGTCTGGAGAACAAGCCCTATGAGGAGTGACTTAAGGAGCTGGGCATGTTTAGCCTGAAGAAGAGAAGGCTGAGAGGAGAAACGATAGCCATGTATAAATATGTGAGAGGAAGCCACAGGGAGGAGGGAGCAAGCTTGTTTTCTGCTTCCTTGGAGACTAGGACGCGGAACAATTGCTTCAAACTACAAGAGAGGAGATTCCATCTGAACATGAGGAAGAACTTCCTGACTGTGAGAACTGTTCAGCTCCACCTGGAGTGTGGTGGAGGCTCCTTCTTTGGAAGCTTTTAAACAGAGGCTGGATGGCCATCTGTCAGGGGTGATTTGAATGCAATACTCCTGCTTCTTGGCAGGGGGTTGGACTGGATGGCCTATGAGGTCTCTTCCAACTCTTTGATTCTATGATTCTATGTGTGGTAGTTCATTCAGTAGCATGCTACTGAAAGAAACATCATTGAGCAGGTGACGGGAGAATTGCACCAGACACTTTAAGATGGACAGGACAAACTGTCAATAGAAATGCACAAAAGCATGACACAATTTTTTTTGACAAGATGCAGGAGTCTGAGCTGGAGAGCCAAGGAACACAACACTCATTCTGAATGACATGAAACAGTTTGAGACCTTCCTAGGGTACTTGAAAGTTTCAAGACAAATAAATTGAAACTGCATCTTTCGGGATATGAAGAAGTTAACAAGTGCCATCGACACCATGCCCACTGAAAGATGTTCTTAAACTGGAAGTTTTTTGTATTAACAAAAGTGATTACGAAACTATAAGCTAGATTGGGTTGTTGTAGGTTTTTTCGAGCTATATGGCCATGGTCTAGAGGCATTCTCTCCTGACATTTCGCCTGCATCTATGGCAAGCATCCTCAGAGGGAGTGAGGTCTGTTGGAAATAGGAAAAAGGGTTTATATATCTGTGGAATGACCAGGGTGAGACAAAGGACTCTTGTCTGCTGGAGCTAGGTGTGAATGTTTCAACTGACCACCTTGATTAGCATATAATGGCCTGACAGTGCCTAGAGCACACTTTTGTTGAGAGGTGATTAGATGTCCTTGTTTGTTTCCTCTCTGTTGTTGTGCTGTTGTAATTTTAGAGTTTTTTTAATACTGGTAGTCAGATTTTGTTCATTTTGTTATAAGCTAGATTTTTCACCATCTTTACCTTCACATTCTGTTGTAGCACCAAATGTCTCCAGAACAAAACAAAAAAAAAAAAGCCCTACTATGGAGTACACAGGCTAAGCTCAATAAAGCACCATAAACTCAGAGCGTCCAAACATTACTGAGATTCTTTCATTATGAAATAGGACATTTTTATTACAGGTCACATGTGGCTTATTGGTGTCATGACAAAAACAGTGGCGAAAAAAAAATCTCACATGATATTAACAACAGCTACAGAATGAAGCTATAGAATATGTTTACATATGAATCCAACATTTTGCAGCACAACAGCCAGTTTCTTTGAGCTGTTTAAAGGTTCTTCCAACCAGAAAAAAAGCCAAGGACAAAATGGTTAGCTCTGAGAAGAGAAATCTGGCTAAATACTGGCCACATACTGACCTCAACAATGAATTTGAAAAGCATTTTCAGCATGCCTGTGACTTATCTTTGCTCTCTACATAGAAACATATTTCTTGTACTTGATAAGTCACATGTCAGGTTTGCTATAGAACTAGAGAAAGCTAGTACTTCTGGGAAAGGTGTCCAGCAGGCCTACTGAAAAGGATCATATTGTTGGACAGCATGGCAGTTGTAAACACAACACAAAAATATGGTATATTGAAAACATGCAAGGCTTTGGCAATAAAATGGTTGACAATATTTGGTGTCACTGTCATTCCCCTCTCTATCATTCAATTTTTTTAAAATATTTTAACTATTACATTTGGCCCAGCCATTGGTTTTTAAATGTTATTGTGTTATTGTCGATGTTTACTGCCAATTTTTTGTTCATGAGTTTTATTTTATTGTTTTGTATTAGTGCTGTTGGTTTTTTTTGCTGATGTATTGTGGGCTCGGCCTCATATAAGCCGCAGTACAAAACTTGGCTGTCCCTTGGGGAGATGGTAGCGAGGTATAAAAAAAGATTAATAACAATAACTTATTGTTCACTAATCCAAAAGGTTTAGTAAAAGTTAAGGTTTTTGACATTAAGTCCAGTCGTATCTGACTCTGAGGTGTGGTGCTCAACTCCATTTCTAAGCCAAAGAGCCAGCATTATCCGTAGACACCTCCAAGGTCATGTGGCCGGCATGACTGCATGGAGCACTGTTACCTTCCCACTGGAGTGGTACCTATTGATCTACTTACATTTGCATGTTTTCAAACTGCTAGGTTGGCAGAAGCTGGGGTTGAAGGTTTACTTCAAGTCAAATTAAATTAACCAGTATAACCTCTGTGGATAGAGTCGTGTTGCGAAGTAATACCCTCAAACCAACTAACTAACCAAACAGAAAAAAACAGGAACAGTTTCTGAATCACACTTGAATGCCATCAGCCATGGGACCTGGTAGCTCTAGTGCTAAAGGGAAAGTGAGAGGAGCGGTTAGGCTAAGACCATTATAAATTTAGTCTTTCCATATGGTTTTCCTGGGGGTAAATGACAATATAAAGGAAAGAATTCATCTTCAGGGCACTAGAAATATCTGGTATCTATTTGTCACATGGACTGATAGGTTCTTCTTCTTTAGCCCAAGTAATCAGGTCAATAAAAGTGGGACAAAGGGAAAAAATAGTGGGAATGGGAAAGCCAAGCAAACCATCTCCAAAACAGTCCTCAACCTCGAGTGCGCCTATGATTCCAAACCATTTGCCACACTATCAGAGCTGGTGTGAATTGTCTTGAACCCAACTGAAGGGTATTAGGTTGGAGAAGGCTGTTCTAAAGAGAAATGGCAAAAGAATGCATATCCTCATATGTGCTATTTGTCAGCTCTCTTATGTAAAGAAAGTTGGAAAAGATTGTCTTTGACTTTCTTTGCCTCCTTCTGTGAGCTGCAATTTGTTACAAAATTGGACTAGTTGCCAAAGGCTGCAGTTAACAACATTGTTGTTTTATTTCAGGAGCTCATGAACTTGTCAGAATGGAAAGGTAAGTCATTATGTTTGAGTGCCTACTTTCATCTGGGATTTTATTTACAAAAATGGCCTTCAAGAATGGCTGATGTAAATTCATGCATGGAGAAAACAACAACAATAAAAGCACAAATCACTAGAATCATAAAATTAGACCCAGTCACCAAAATCCTGTAGTCATATTCCAACATTACAGGGAGCGGTCAACCCCCCGTTTAATATAAATGAAAGATTTTCATGAGATATGTTGTGTCCCTAAATATTTTGTTGTTACAGTTTATGGATGTGTCCGTGTGGGGTTGGTTCATCTTCCGGTTCCAATTCAAGGTGCGGGTTCTCACCTACAAAGCCCTGAACAGTTTGGGACCCGTCTACCTGCATGACCGCATTTCTGTTTACAAACCCACGCAATCTCTTTGATTGTCCGGAGAGCCCCTGCTCTCGTTCCCGCCCCCCTCGCAGGCACGACTGGTGGGGATGAGAGAGAGGGCCTTCTCTGTGGTAGCCCCCCAACTCTAGAACTCACTCCCCAAGGTCATCAGGAAAGCCCCCACATTGGCAGTCTTTACGAGGGTCTTGAAAACTTGGCTGTTTAATGTGCCTTCCCTGAATAAAGGAAACAATATCCTGATCTGACCAATTTTCTGCAAAATGTCCTCTGAAGCACTTTAGATGTCCTCTACCCATTGGGAATAATTTCCTACATTGCCCTCAAAAAAAAAACAAACCCTGTTTAGACATACTCTACTGCTGTTCACACCCAGTGTTTTAAATTTATTACATTTGGCCCTGCCCACAGTGTTGGATTCTTGTATTTTAAATTTTCTGTCTTATTGCTAATATGTTATTCATAATGCTTTGTATTGCATTTTATTTTCATGCTATGTTGTTTTTACTGATGTATTATTGTTGGGCTTGGCCTTATGTATGGGGAGGTGATGGCGGGATAGAAATAAAGTTTAAAAAAATATATTATTATTATTAAATTCATGCAGCCACAGTAATCTGGAACAAAAGCTTTAAGGGGTTGTTCATCATTCTTGAAGTCACATAACATCCCCATACAAAATTAAACACAGCAGACCTGTACTTGCAGCAGCAAGCAATAACAAAATATGGATCCCTTACAGTCACTTTTATGAGCCTCACTTGTTCTTAAAACTTATTTCAGATTCGCTTTGCAAGGGGTCAGTCTGACATGCAGGCAATTCCCACCCCCACCCCCACCTTTAACATAGCTGTATCTAAAAGCATTGCAGTTGCCACCTAGTCAGTTTCACAGAGCAGGAGGAATTAAATGGACCAACAAAACACTGAAAAATAGAAATTAAATGTGGCTTCACCTAGCAACTAGTTATTTTGAGAAAATAATCCTCTAGGATGTTGAAATCTTCATATTTTTAACAGAACAGAAACTGTTTTCAGCAGATATACACTTCTAATGGGTTTGTTGATGACTCCGTTCTTAGTAAACAATACAATTCTCCAGAAACCACTGAATACATGGTAAAGCATGTCAGTATTTCCCTCTTCCATGTCATCAAATCAAAGACACATAAAGCAGGACTCTTTAGACATTTGTAATCTTTTTCCCTATTAAAATGATGGGAGAACATGGAGAAAAGCAAGATTTGACTCTGATATGATTAATTAGAGCCTTTGTTTTTCCCCTCTTGCAGCAATGCCCATGGCATTGAGAATCCTGTTTTTGATGATGTTCCTGCTGTTAATTCAGAAGACCAGGCCAGACCACAGTTAAGCTATATGGCTAGCCGTTTGCCTTCAGAATCAGGCCGGCACCTTCTTTCAGAACCAAATACTCCACTCTCACCTCCGGGGCCAGGAGACTGTTTCTTCCCATCACTGGGTAAGTATTACAATGAAGAGAGAAGAACAGTGCCTATGTATATCTCTGTGTGCACAATAGTTGTTTATTAGCCTGTACCTTGGGAAGTCTGACTTGGCCACGGTGGTCCATGCTCTGGTTACATCCTGAATAGATTACTGCAATGCACTCTACATGGGGTTGCCTTTGAAGACTGTTCGGAGACTTCAACTAGTCCTACGGGCAGCAGCCAGATTACTCACCAGAGCACCATACAGGGAGCATACCACACCCCTGTTGCGTCAGCTCCACTGGCTGCCAGTCCACCTCTGAGCACAATTCAAAGTACTGGTCTTGGCCTACAAAACCCTATATGGCTCCGGCCCAGCTTACTTATCCGAACGTATCTCTCTCTACATTCCACCTCATAATTTAAGATCTACTGTGGAGGCCCTGCTCTCAGTCCCACCAGCGTCTCAAACACATCTGGTGGGGACGAGGGACAGGGCCTTCTTGGTGGTGACCCCCCCCTTATGGAATTCGCTCCCCAGCGAGATTAGATCAGCGTCTTCCCTCCTTACTTTTAGGAAAAAACTAAAGATGTGGTTTTGGAGTCCGGCCTTTGGCTAGTGGGCACAACAGCACTTTAGGCACTGAACTCGGACAATAGGATTGTTTGAAAATTGGAAATGGCTTTATGACCTGTGATTCTGTGATCTGTTCTATGTGGTTATGTAATTTTAATTAATATCACTGCTTAATTGTTATGTAATGGATTTTATATTGCTATTTTATATTGTTTTGATACTGTTGGCATTGAATAGTTGCCTGTGTTAGCCGCCCTGAGTCCCCCCTCGGGGGTGAGAAGGGCGGGGTAGAAATGGTCTAAATAAATAAATAAATAAATAAATAAAATAATTAACCAACAGTACATTTACCGTATATACTCAAGTATAAGCCGAGTTTTTAGGGCTGAAAAAGCCCCCCTCGTCATATACTCAAGTCAAAGTTATTTATTATTTTACACCAGCAGAACAATATGTTTGGGATCTGCTTGTGTTAACCATCACTGTTTGCTTTTTTCAGAGCCTGTTCCAGATTCACCAAATTTAATAGATGTATCAACGAATAATGTTTTTCATTGAATCATTCGAGGAAGTATGAACAAGGTTTGGCTTGCTGCTTTCAAAAATGGCAGGAGGAATGAGTACAAAGAAGAGGAAGAGGAATAGTTTTAAGGGACTATTTCCTAGTAACATTTCAAAATACTGATGTACTCCTTGCCCTTCCTTCCAAGGATTTCAAGGCAAAGATAAAGTTTTGGAAAACAATAACATTCTAAGATTCTTCTGCCAGTTTTTCTAATTTTTTACTTCACAGAGCTATTTATCACTTTATGAACACTTTTGAATATGAATTCTTAAATAGGGTGTGGTTTCACTGCAGCGGAACTGGAACTGGAGAGAAGATGTTTAAATTATAATCATATAGCAGAAGAGTTATGCAAACAGCCAACAAAGCCTTAACTGAAGAGGGATCTCCCTGCCATCTAAATACCTTCTGCCATGGAAATATTGGTGGATTAAAAAACAAAACACAAGAATATTCTTTCAAGCAAAGTTTATTATGTTTTATACAGGTCTCATTGTATATGTGTTATTTTTACATTTGTGCCATTTTTATATGGGGTGTCTCTGTCTAATAAGCAACAAGGTATTTTATATGCATCCTGGCTTGAAATATTTCACATAACATGAAAAAAGTCTTGCTTGCCTGCAGTTCTAACGCTAATTTTTTTTATAAATTACAGCTTTAATTTTCCTCTTAATGCTTTCTAAGTACACATATAAAATGATGGCAGTACATCAAAATGTCAAAATCAATCTTTTCAAACCAATCTGAATGTTTCAGCCTAGTTTGATTTCTATCAGAGACAGAGAGGTTATTTCTTAGAGAAAATGTACAGTGCATTTCATAATGACAATACATGTCATATGAAAACTGGAAAACATGTTTTAACCAGCATAGGTTAATCCAGTTTCACAGTCCATCCAATCCACCATTTAAACTGTGGTGGAAGGCAAAGTGACAGGCTCATTGATTGCATCACATTCATGGATAGATGGTATCAAGGGCTTTTCGGACAGAACAACAACAACAACAACAACTTTATTTATACCCCGCCACCATCTCCCCAAGGGGACTCAGGGCGGCTTACATGAGACGAAGGCCAATAAATAATATATCAGTAAAAATAACATAGCAGCAAAATACAATACAATACAATACATTATGAATAATATATAAGCAGTAAAATTTAAAATACAAGAATCCAACACTGTGGGCAGGGCCAAATGTAATAAATTAGAGTTGGGGGCCACCATAGAGAAGGCCCTCTCCCCCGTCCCCACCAATTGTGCCTGCGAGGGGGGTGGAAGCGAGAGCAGGGTCTCTCCGGACGATCAAAGAAATCGCATGGCTTCGTAAATAGAAATGCAGTCACACATTTCTTGTTGAAAGGGAGAGCTTATACACATCAGCACGATAACTGAGACACTTGTCTCTTCCCTCCTCACTTCTTTTGGGCAATGTTTTTTTAGATTACTACTTCTTAAACTGTGTCCTGATTCAAAATGGGTTCCCTTAGCTCAATGTTGAAGTTGAGAAAAAAATGGAAACAGTAAATCTAGTGGCTCTTTGAAACATTGAAAACAATCTGTTCACAAATATGTGTAGTGTGTACAGTGGACTAAACAGAAAATGCTTCAGCTGTACTTCATAAAAAGGAAAATCAGACTGTTTAGCAAGTCTTGCAAATGCTGATTTATTATCAGTAAATGTTTGATTTTTATACTTATTTTATATTCTATATATCAGGCTCCTATTCCATGTCCTCTCTCCGGTAGAAGGTAGCTGATATTTCTCTCTGGCTTCACCCTAACTTATAGGATACTCATATAAAGATTTGGAAATGCACATGTGTTTGATTAGTCCTTCTGTGTGATACCATTATAGTTTCAACTGTGTTGCATTATGTGTTAAAATAAGCTTTACAATATATAAACCACTTATGGACAAAACCAGCTGTTCCATAGGTTGTGGTTTAGCTTGCAAACCATTGTAATCATTCGAAGTGACTTAAATGTGATTTCAACAGTTCAAATAGATGAAAAGTTTAAAAAATGGCTGTTACCTTGAACTTTCTCAGAATGATTACATCACTGAAACAGATGGAAACCTTCAAGGCTACTTGGAAATGATCCCTAGTTATATCAGACCATAATAAAAAGCCGTTTGAAACACACAGCTTACTGCCATTTAGTTAGATAGCATAACTTGAAAACTATATCACTATGTAGCACGCAAATTAACTACAGAATTGCTCTTAAATGTTGTAGACTCCTTCCTTTGCCAAATATATGAAGCCTGACTGATTCTGCTCATTCTTCTGCTGCAAGGTGGCTTTAGCAAAGCGATTATGATTGATCTAAAAACTTATTTTATTAGTAGATCTGTTAGCTAAATATGTCAGTGCAGAACACCAAACTGGGTATTTCAGATTTCATATGAATATGGAAAACCAATTTACCCAGTAGTAAACCAATCATTCCACGTGACACCAGTGATGCCATATTCTGCTAACAAATGGTGAAGGAGATTTTACAATTCCCCTGCTTCCTCAAATGTAGAAATATGATAAAAGAGTGCCTACTTCTTCAAACAACAATACAAAGAATCAGTGTATCAAGTTGTTCTTTATACTGTCAAATAATTACTCGCTGACATTCATGTTTTGAGGCATTTCAGTACATATCTGGTAAGAGCTTTGGGATTTTGCCAGATTCTCTAGTTTTAAAAAGCATTTAAGTGGTCAGTGATTTAAAAAATGACAAGGAAGAAGACTCTTTAGTGATATGTGAAGAAATTATTTGAAATCCATTCTGATTGTTTCTGTCTAGCAAGAGGAGATGGGTGAATAAGTATGTTCTTGCCTGTGTAAAAGTAAGACGAATGAATGTACATGTCAACTTCTTTGCTATTCCTCTGATTGTATTTATATTTGTGTATAAAGTTTTGTTGTGGTTGCATTTCTATTTTGTAACAGAAAAAATTAATGGGAAGTATTCAGCAAAATCAAGCAATGAAAGATTTCTATCCTCGTAACCACAGTGATAAAATGAGAAGACAGGAAAGCTTGGAGAAGATAATGCAGCTAGGGAAAAAGGAAGGAAGAGGGGCCGACCAAGGGCAAAATGGATGGATTTTATCCTTGAAGTGACTGGCTTGACCTTGAAGGAGCTGGGGGTGGAGACAGCCAACAGGGAGCTCTGGTGTGGGCTGGTCCATGAGGTCACGAAGAGTAGGAAGCGAGTGAATGAATAAACAGCAACAAACCACAGTGGTGATTACAAGATGTACCTAAAAGTGTTTGACATAAATGAAATCACTGATCCATCTCAGAGTTGAGGCAATCATCTTTGAAAGTTCTCACATTATCTTTGAGAGTTCTCGGAGAACAGGAGATGTTCCAGCAGATTGGAGGAGGGCAAACATGGTCCCTATCTTCAAGAAGGGGAAAAAAGGATGACCCAAACAATTACCTTCCAGTCAGCCACATGTCGATACCTGGCAAGATTCTGGAGAAGATCATTAAGGAAGTGGTCTGCAAACACTTAGAAGCTAATGCGGTCATCGCTAATAGTCAACACAGATTTATCAAAAACAAGTCATGCCAGACTAATCTGATCTCTTTTTTCAATTAGATCAGTGGTTCTCAACCTATTGATCCCCAGGTGTTTTCACCAACAACTCCCAGAAATCCCAGTTAGTTTACCAGCTGTTAGGATTTCTGGGAGTTGAAGGCCAAAACATCTGGGGACCCACAGGTTGAGAACCACTGGATTAGATGCTGGGTAGGTGCAGGGAATGCTGTAGATGTAGCATACCTGGACTTTAGTAAGGCCTTTGACAAGGTCCCCCATGACCTTCTGACAAACAAACTAGTTCAATGTGAGCTAGGCAAAACTACAGTTAGGTGGATCTGTAACTTGTTAAATGAATGAACCCAGAGGGTGCTCACCACTGCTTCCTCTTCATCCTGGAAAAAAGTTATGAGCAGAGTGCCGCAGGGTTCCGTCCTGGGCCCGGTCCTGTTCAACATCTTTATTAATGACTTAGATGAAGGGCTAGAAGGCATGATCATAAAGTTTTCAGATGACACCAAATTGGGAAGGATAGCCAATTCTCCAGAAGACAGGAGCAGAATTCAGAACGATCTTAACAGATTAAAGAGATGGGCCAAAACTAACAAAATGAAGTTCAACAGTGACAAATGCAAGATACTCCACTTAGGCAGAAAAAAATGAAATGCAAAGATACAGAATGGGGGATGCCTGGCTTGAGAGCAGTACGTGTGAAAAAGATCTTGAGTCCCTGTGGACAACAAGTTAAACATGAGCCAACAATGTGACACTGCAGCTTAAAAAGCCAATAGGATTTTGGCCTGCATCAATAGGAGTATATTGTCTAGATCCAGGGAAGGGATGCTACCCCTCTATTCTGCCTTGGTTAGACCAGACCTGGAATATTGTGTCCAATTCTGGGCACCACAATTGAAGGGAGATGTTGACAAGCTGGAATGTGTCCAGAGAAGGGTGACTAAAATGATCAAGGGTCTGGAGAACAAGCCCTATGAGGCGCAGCTTAAAGAACTGGGCATGTTTAGCCTATAGGAAAGACTGAGAGGAGACATGATAGCCATGTATAAATATGTGAGGGGATGTCATAGGGAGGAGGGAGCAAGCTTGTTTTCTGCTGCCCTGGAGTCTAGGATGCAGAACAATGGCTTCAAACTACAAGAAAGTAGATTCCACCTGAACATTAGGAAGAACTTCCTGACTGTGAGAGCTGTTCAGCAGTGGAATTCTCTGCCCCGGAGTTTGGTGGAGGCTCCTTCTTTGGAGGCTTTTACACAGGCTAGGTGGCCATCTGTTGGGGGTGCTTTGAATGCAATTTTCCTGCTTCTTGGCAGGGGGTTAGATTGGATGGCCCATGAGGTCTCTTCCAACTCTATGATTCTATGGTTTTACTCGGTTCCTTCCTGAAGGAAGCATATGCAGTACATAATAAGTAGCAGTGTCAATACGGTTCAGAAAAAAGTGCACTGACAAGTTAAAAAGCATTTCAACAGATATGACAAAGACCAGCCTCTTCTAAGTTATTTAGTTTTAAAATCAGCTGAGTATGATGCAAACCACATTGTAACCAGTATTACTAACCAAAATAGATCCATCATTTTAGTGGAACAAGATTATAGTAAGAAATGGAACATCTGAGTATTCAATAACCACAAAAGTTTGTGTTACCACTACACTCAGCAGTACTAAAATGCTATACTCTTCCTTAATTTTGTTCCCTCTTTAAAAGTAAAAATAGAGGCTTTCCTGTTTTCTTGTGGTACGCTATGTTGCACCATCCTAACCGAAACCGATCCTTGTTTTCTTTTCTGATGTTGCTAGAAACAAATATACTTCTAGAAGAGGACACTAAGAATCTTCCAGTGGCACAGGGTTGAGCCTTTCCTTCTAGGACATGAGTGGGATCTGGCCATCCAGATGTTCTAGTCCAGAACCCTATGATATGATGATTCAGTAGTTTCCTAGGTTTTTTTTACTGTTATTTTTCCTATGCTACATTTGGAAAAAAATATTCCAAAGGCTTAGTGACTGGTAGTAAGAGCTTTGAAGTAAAACAAGATGGTAGTTTTGGCTTCATCCTTTCATCACCCTTTTGGCACTGGACTTGGGCTGAAAGTGCTTCCCCACCTTGCTCTATGAAGTCTAGTATGAGCAGTGTACTTGATTGGCACTGCAAAAAGGACAATAGCAGCAAAACAAACTAGCAAACTATCTACAGACCCACCAAGAAAATCCAACAAATGCTACGTTCAGCAAAGGACAAGAGGGATCCTCTCACTTCTGCAGGAGGCTACCGTGTACCATGCAGCTGTGGACAAGTCTACATAGGACCACAAAACGCAGCGCCCAAACACAAATCAAGGAACACAAAAGGCACTGCAGATTATTTCAACCAGATAAATCAGCCATAGCAGAGCACCTGATGAACCAACCTGGACACAGCATTTTATTTGAGAACACAGAAATGCTGGACCACTCCCACAACCACCATGTCAGACTACACAGAGAAGCCACTGAAATCCACAAGCATGTGGACAATTTCAACAGAAAGGAGGAAACCATGAAAATGAACAAAATCTGGCTACCGATATTAAAAAACTCTAAAATTGCAACAGCACAACAACAGAGAGGAAGCACGTAGGGACATCTAATTACCTCTCAACAAAAGTTTGCTCCAGGCACAGTCAGGCCATTGTATGCTAATCAAGGTGGTCAGTTGAAACATTCACACCTAGCTCCAGCAGAGAAGAGTCCTTTGTCTCACCCTGGTCATTCCACAGATATATAAACCCCTTTTGCCTAGTCCCAACAGACCTCACTACCTCTGAGGATGCTGGCTAAAGTGCAGGCGAAACGTCAGGAGAGAATGCCTCTAGACCATGGCCATACAGCCCAAAAAAACCTACAACAAACCAGTGATTGCAGATATGAAAGCCTTCGACAATACATTCTAGCAAAGGTTCTTTTAATCTGGTACAGTCCAAGGAGACCAAGTACTAATCTCTGTAAACACAGTTGTATTCATGCTTTGAATAAGGTAGAGAGGTCTTATCTTATGAAAACAGATCTTACACAAAGATACATTTTGTAAAAACAATAACTTTATAGATAAAATATGACCGAGATAAAAATATTTCTCTATAACTGCATATTAGGCATGGTTAGGTACTGTCAGAATCTTCATAAAACAGAATAAATTTGGAAAAATTACCTTTTTGAAACGATTTCGAAGTTTTTAAGGAAACCGGAAGTTCCTTTACCCTTCCGAAGCTTTTCCCGCCATTTTTGTTACGACTCATGAAGTGAGTCGGAAATGATTCAGCTTCTTCCCGCTTCTGGTCCCTGGCCTCGGCTCAATCCAGAGAAGCCAGTTTTAAAGCCAGAGAAGCCGGTTTTAAACCAGAGAAGGAAGGAATTTCCTCCTCCAATCATATTACTTAAATAAGTCACAATAAACCAAGCATATGAGTGAGGGGACATCTCTACCCCATATATGTCGGATTTAGGATAGAAACAGTGGTCAGGCAGAGCAGCCACCCAGCTTATGCTTTCAGTATTGACTAAAAAGAGAGTGAGCACCCAAGTTTGATGGGAGACTGAATCTACATGAAAAATGCTACAGATTAAAGTGCCAGGAAATCCAATGTCGCAAACCCAAATTCCTTTCCTATTGTCACTTCATCTAATCAAATGCCTGGCCACAGAGCCAGGTCTTCAGTTGTCTTCTAAAGGAAAGGAGGGAGGTGGCCAACCTAATGTCCTTAGAGAGGGAGTTCCACAGACGAGAGGCCACTGACGAGAAGGCCCTGTCTCTCGTCCCCATAAATCGCGTTTGCGAGAGTGGTGGGATTGAGAGCAGGGCCTCTTCTAACCACCTTAGGCTTCGTGATGGTTCATAGTAGGAGAAACGTTCGGATAAGTAATCTGGGCCAGAACCGTTTAAATCTGTGTTCTGTACTTTCAATACTTCCCTGGTCATGAAGCATCTCCTGACCAGATACAGTGAAGACATCTGCCCTTGCGCTATGCTATTCTGCTGCTGAGTACGCATGCCCAGTGTGGAACACATCTCACCACACTAAAACAGTGGATGTGGCTCTTAATGAGACATGCCGCATCATCACGGGATGTCTGCACCCTACACCACTGGAGAAATTACACTACTTAGCCGGTATTGCACCACCTGACATCCACCGGGAAGTTGCAGCCAATAGTGAAAGGGCCAAGGCAGAGAGATCTCCAGCTCATCCCTTGTTTGGGTATCAGCCAGCACATCAATGACTTAAATCAAGAAATAGTTTTCTTAGATCTACAGAGACACTCGCTGGAACACCTCAGCAAGCGAGAGTTCAAAAGTGGCAGGCTCAAACCCAGCACCTCAATCCGTGGGT